TTTTGTTCAGTTTGGGAAAGCACTTTGGTTAGTTTAGGTTGTTTTCCTCCATTGACTTGTGCCTTCCTGGGGCTTTTCACTTACAAACTGCCTCTTGATGTTGCACTTCCTCTCCTCTCCCCTTATTTCCTTGGAATTTTAAGGTTACTGCCTTGGTTTACTTCTTTCTACCACAGCTATTTTTGAGATAACTGTAGTCACTGCTCCAAATATTTTGTCTACTGSTGATGCCCCTGTGTTATCTCTGTCTGGGCTTTTGCTTGCGGCTCAGCAGTGCAGGCAGGCTTTGATAAATAGCACGGTTCCCTGTGATGCTGCGTGCTGGGTGCCGACGTAGTAAAATATGTTTGTCCTGTAGGGTTAGCGAAGTATCTTCCTAGAACTTGCAAACTTTTGCACGTGGGACAGGTCCTGTGCAATAAAAAACTCTTCCTTCTGGCACCAGCTGACAGTTAATAAATCTTCATCTCAGCCTGACAAAGGCAGATAGGTGATTTTTCCTTCTTTGCTCTTCGTGTTGCTTTTCTGTCTCCTCCACTGGAGTAAATACTTGTGCCTCTCTCTCTCCTTGGCTCGCTGACTTGTAGGATTTTTTCAAAATAGATATATATATATTTTTTTAATCTTGTACAAGTTGATGCTTAAAGCACCATCACCATCCTGACAAGCAGTAAAAGCCAAACTTCTGCATTCCTTCATTCAGCTTTCAAAAACTTCTTGCCTTTAGACAGTATTTTAAAATATAAAGTTTTAAGTACTAAAGATAACTCCATGAGATCTTGTCATCACAGTAGTCGTTGCTGTGACCTCTCAAAACCTCACAGTCAATTATAATATAGTCTTTAAAAGCTTTTTACATGCTTGCTTCTTTCTACCTATTTTTCCATCTGTTTGTAGACCATTTAAGCAGTGAGGTCCAAATAACTAGGTGTGASTTCATGTATGTGGAAGTTTAAATGCCTAATACTTTACTTTCCTTGCGCAGATCATACTGCAATGAGTTCTTAACTGTAAATTTCTAAAAATTGTGATTTGTTGGAGAACTGCTAAATTTTTAGTCATGAATAAACCCTGCATTTGTAGAGTTGAATTCTTTAAGCCCCAAATGTTGGGCTTCCAGCGCTTCCCCTGGGGAGCTGTTCCCACAGTTGTTACTGTTCATATCTTCTGCCTTTCCTTGGCATTTAATCTCTCTGAATGCATTGTTAAGCTTTGTTATTCTATAGGTATTAAATCAGCAGTTGGGATTTTCCTTTTAATTTTTCTTTCAACTGTTTCATTGCATTGATGTTTTTTAGAAGAAAACGGGCAGAGTGCAAGTGAGCTAGTGGTGTTTTGTTTTGACTGTCGTCGGATGAACTAGAAATAGTCCAGCTCTTCTGATCTGATAGTTTTCAAACCTGCTAACATAGTAGGGGTAGCAGAAGTTTTTGACTGTCCATAATTATGAAATTCTAATTAAAGCTCCACTTTATACCTGAAATTACATCAGTAGAAAGCCACAGTATGCTGCTCTAAATTAGTCAACTAAATCTGTTCTAAGTGAGTGTGAGGTCTCTGTCTTACCTAACGGGTTATGTGGTAAAGGTTAAATTACACTGATCATACAGCAGGATGCACTTTCAGGATTTAGGTGTGCTCCTGGGATGCTTTCTTAGAGGGTGGCATAGGCCTTTTATAGGAGTGCTGAGGAAACATTTCCTAGAGATTTAAAATCTTCAGAGCAACTTTGGAGTAGCTGTTCTTAACAGTAGATGAACTAGTAGGTRGACTAGGCTTATGTGTTTTGAGGAGAAGACATCTGAGTTTTAGTCTCTAGTCTAAAGTGATTATAATTAAATTACATGTTAA